GCAGCCCGATTCGTAACCACTACGCTACCAGAGATCCTTAAATACCATCATAGTAAGTGGAAAAAAGATTGAAGTTGTCAAAGACTTCATTTTGCTTGCATCAACAATCAACACTCATGGAAGCAGCAGCCAAGAAATCAAACGACACATATTGCATTAGGCAAATCTGCTGCGTAAGATCTTTTTAATGTGTTTGATAGTAAAGATGTCAGTTTAAAGACTAAGGTTCGCCTGAAACAAGCCAAGGTACTTTCAATAGTCTCATATGCATGCAAAAGTTAGACAATTAATAAGAAAGACTGCAGGAGAACTGATTCATTTGAGTTATAGTGCTGGAGAATAATATTAAAACAACCATGGACTTCCAGAAGAACAAACAAATTTGTCTTGGTAAAAGTACAGCCAGAATGTTCCTTAGAAGTCAGGATGGCCAGACTTTGTCTCTCATATTTTGGGCATATTATCGGGAGGGACCAGTTTCCCAAAAAAGACATCATGCTTGGTAAATTGGAGGGTCAGAAAAGATGAGGAAGACTCACCAGTAGATGGATTGTTTAGTGTCAGCTCCAATGGCTAAAGTGTAATAACAATTTTGAGGATGTCACAGGACCAGGCAGTGTTTTGTTATGTTGTGCATAAGGCTGCCAAAACTTCAAATGTTTTTTGAAGACAGCCTCCTGTTTCTCCCTCGGAGTATCTAGTGAGTTTGAATTGCTGACCTTGTAGTTAGCAGCCCAACACTTATCCCAGGATGCCATCAGGGGGCTCCTTTTTACGATAACAGGGTTGTCACTGGTAAGTGCCATGGAGTAGTTTCCCACTCACAGTGACCCTTATAGGATTTCTGAGGAGTAGCTGGTAAGTTTGAACCTCCGACCTTGCAGTTAAAACCAACTTTGTGGTCCAGTGCTTATCCTATAGTGCCATACCAGACTCCACAATAGAGTTGTTGTTGTTTTTAAGTACCATCAAGTCGGTTCTGACTCATAGTGACCCTGTACAGGGTTTCTGAGGAACAACTGGTAGATCTGAACTGCCGACTTTGTGGTCTGCAGTCCAGTGCTGATCCTACAGCGCGCCACACCAGGAGTCCATAACAGGGTTGTTGTTGTTGTTGTTATGTGCCATCGCGTCGGTTCCGACCCATAGCGACCCTGTATAGGGTTTCTGAGGGTGTAAATCTTTACGGGAGTAGAAAGCCTCATCTTTCTCCCGCGGAGCAGCTATAGTTTCGAACCGCTGACCTTAAGGTTCGCAGCCCGATTCGTAACCACTACGCTACCAGGGGGCACAAATACTTTTCAGGCAAGAAGTGAGTATGAAAGGTACTCTTGGAAAGAATATTATTTGGGAGTGGAAGAAATTACATGTGACCAGTCAATAAGACAGCTAGGCAGGGCTATTTCACATGCATTCAACGACGTTTATAAAACTAGCTGTTCATTTTCCAAGACTGATAAAAGATTTTCTTCAGATACACAGCTATCTGTTTATGGTTTTGTCTTATAGGTGCTTACTTAAATTACATACAACATAATTCTTCCCACCAGGCCAGCTTATACACTTTAGAATGACCAGTTCAAGCAGGCCTACTGACTGAACTATAATAGCAAGAGTTCAGTGTGCTATCGAGGTGTTGCATGGAGTATCCCTTTTAAGACAGCAAATAGTGTATGAAACGACACATTTGGTTCTAGAAAGTGAAAACACTGCAGAAAATGTTAGAGTAAGCAGAGATGGCTGCTGGGATATTGCAGGACAGAGCTACAACAACTGAGGTCCTGTCTTGATCTTTCCTGAGCAGGAGTTGAAGAGCAGATAGCCTTGCAAAGCACAGTCTAGCACTACGGCCTAAACTTATGGTGAGCAAAAAAGTTAAGTACACTTATCACAGACTTTTCATGGAAGCAAAATACCAGATAAGAATCCTGAATAAAATTTTGAATGGGCATAAACAAGATGCAAAAGGTTAGAAAACAAAATTTAATTCTTTATATAGACAGTCACATTAAAAGAAAAAAATAATAAACTGAAGTGGGGAAGAAGGCATATATTGATAAGAAAGAAATTAAAATCCCATAGATAAAATAAATTTGAAACCACTTATTACATATACAAGATAATAACCGAAGCAACAAAACAAGCTCCCATGTGCGTTCCTTACTCTATGCTGATCCAGGAAACTAAGCTACTGAATTATATTTTAACAGCAACATGGCACCTCTTACATTGTCAGGAGAAACAAAGTACTTTCCCTACAAACTGAGAACAAATAAGCTGTTTCCTTTCCAGGAAGCTACAAATGTCATTCCTTCGCTAACCTAGAAACTGCAGTGACAAACTTGTTTTTTAGTATCCAGGATATCCATCTACCTAGCCGACAAATCCCTGTTCTCTTGGGAAGTCTGTTAACGCTGTTCAGTAAGCGAATATACAATGGGTCATGATTTATGTTTACACAGCCTTACTGATTTTCTGGTTCCCAATACTTTGGGGATAATGCAGACACATCTGTTTACTTCAGGAAGAGGGAATGGAGGTCCTTAGTGCTTAATGAACCCCCC